AGGTGTTCTGAAGAGTAGCTACTCCGGGGAGGGGGGACAGGGAGGGCCCAGGGCCGCCTTGGTGAAGTGAGGTGACTTAGGGCGGACTTTCCTCAGATCGGGTACGTGAGGCAGACAGCAGCAGATAACACAAACAAGATATGAATGTTTTTCCGTTTGCTGCTGGTTTGGGTCTTGAGGTTTCTCAAATGCAAATATCAATGATTCATCAAGTGCCTGTGAGAACCAACAGGCCCCACGTGGGCCTAAAAGCCAGAGCTGGCTTCCTCACTTCCTTTGTGACTTCCTGGCTGCTCTGACAGTGCCTGAGCGCTCCAGAGGGCAGAGGTTTCATCCACTGCTGCATCGCCAGTGCCCTGTGAGCCTGCCATGGGTCCCCGTCACCCTGGAAGAAGCACCCAAACCTGTCATTATCATCAGAGACAAGCCTGCAGGGACCCTGAAGGTTCCCCACAGCAGAAAGAGCCTGGAGATCATCTTTCTGGTTGGCTGGCTCCACTGTCCTCCTCTCAATTCCGAAGGAACNGTCAACTATAATTATATATACATATAGTCACGGGACGTGGAGTAGAGAGTGGGAATGGAGTCAATGAAATTGTAATAGATAAGCATGATATGGGGGGTAGGGGGGCAGTGGATGGGGGAGGGGGTTGTTACTTTGTGAGGGTGAAAAGGGTAACTATTGCATTGTTCTGTACACCTGAAACTAACAATAAAAAAAAAAAAAGAAAATGGGCAGAGGATATGAAGAGACACTTCTCTAAAGAGGACATACAGATGGCCAACACGCATATGAAAAAATGTTCAACCTCACTCATCATTACGGAAATGCAAATAAAAACAACAAGGAGATACCACCTCACACCTGTCAGAATGGCATCACCAATAAATCAATCAACAAGTGCTGGCAAGGATGCGGAGAAAAGGGACCCCTTGTGCACTGTTGGTGGGACTGCAGACTGGTGCAGCCACTATGGAAATCAGTACGGAGGTTCCTCAAAAAACTGAAAACGTACCTACCTTATGACCTAGCAATTCCATTCCTGGGCTATCCAAAGAAATCCAAAACACTAATTTGAAAAAAAATACATGCACCCCTATGTTTATTGCAGTGCTATTCACAATAGCCAAGACTTGGAAACAACCGAAATGCCCATCTATAGACAACTGGATAAAAGTGGTGTATTTATACAATGGAGTATTACTCAGCCATAAAGAAGAATGAAATATTACTATTTGCAATGACATGTATGGACCTAAAGAATATTATGCTGGGGCGGCCAGGTGGCTCAGTTGGTTAGAGAGCATCTCTGAACAACAAGGTTGCTGGTTCGATTCCCACATGGGATGGTGGGCTGCACCCCCCCACAACTAGACTGAAAATGGCGACTGAACTTGGAGCTGAGCTCTGCACTCCACAACTAGATTGAAGGACAATGACTTGACTTGGAACTGATGGATCCTGGAAAAAACACACTGTTACCCAATAAAAAAATTAAAAAAAAAAAAGAATATTATGCTAAGTGAAATAAGTCAGACAGAGGAAGACAGATACCATATGATCTCACTTATATGTAGAATCTAAAGAATAGAATAAACAATCAAACAAAAGAGAAATCGAGATATAAGGAAAAAAACTGAGGGATGCAAGGTGGGAGGGGTGTGGGGATGGGGGAGAAAAGAAAAGGATTGGAAAGTACTAATTAGTAGTCACAATATAGCCATGGGGATATGAAATACAGTTTGGGGAATATAATCAATAATGTTGTAAAGATTATGTAGGGTGCCAGATGGGCACTTGTCTTATCAGGGGCGTCACTTCATGGACGGTGTAGATGCCTGACCACTGCGCTGTCCACCTGAAGCTGAAGCTGAATAATGTGGAACATCAACTGTAATTAAATATATACAGAGGGCACCAAAACAATGTATATACATTTTAAGAAAGGAAAAATCTGTATTAAAATTGTAATACTTGGGGCCGGCCGAGTGGCTCAGTTGGTTGAGAGCGCAAGCTCTGAGCAACAGCGTTGCCGGTTCAATTCCCACATGGGCCAGTGAGCTGCACCCGAGCTGAGCTGCTGCTGAGCTGGTGAGAGCACGTGCTCTTAGCAGCAAGATTGCCAGTTCAACTCCCGCATGAGATGGTGGGCTGTGCCCCCCGCAACTGAGATAGAACACGGCACCTTGAGCTGAGCGGCCGTGAGCTGCCGATAGGTGGCCGGATGGCTCAGCGTGCAACAAGTTTGCAGGTTTCGACTCCCGCACCCTCCCCCCCACCTCCCACAACTAGATTGAAAGAGGCGACTGGACTTGGAGCTGAGCTTGCGCCCTCCACAACTAAGATTGAAGGACAACAACTTGACTTGGAGCTGATGGGTCCTGGGAAAAACACAGTGTTCCCTTTCCCCAATTCCCCAGCACTGTTCCCCTTCCCCAATTCCCCAGTAAAATCTTAAAAAAAAAATTGTAACACTCAATATATCCACACATAACAAAAGATGACTACAAGTCATGCGTATACATTTTTTTGGCACCCCCGGTACATACAGTCACAGCATAGGAAACAGAGTCAATGGAATTGTAACAGCTATATACGATGTCAGAGGGGTAGTAGCTTGGGGGAGGGGGGTTATCACTTTGTGAGGAGTGTAAATGTCTAACTCTTACATTGTTCTGCACACCTGAAACTAACAAATAAATAAACTGGAGGCCATGGTTTGACAATACCCCTAGACCAGACACTCAAGTCACAGAACCGAAAGTTGTCCTGACTTCCCTGAAATGCTAACTCTGATCTGAAACGAACCTTAAGCTTCCTTCACATAGGCATGCCACTGCAGTTACCAGCCAGTAAGCTTACGCAATGGAAAGGGGTGTCAGCTGCTAGTCACAAATTCCCAGGGGAAACAATGCACTCACTCGTTCCTGCTTTGTAAACCAAGCTGTGACTACAGAGAGCCGCGCTTCTAACCACTTCCCGTTTGGGAGTCTCCTTGTCCTTGAACTGTTTGTTTCTCACTTTCTCCCTGAATAAAATATCCATAGCATCCAGTAAAACTTGGAATCTTCTGGGCTGGCCAAATGGTGCGTTGGTTAAGAGCTGGCTTGGGATGCCAGAGGGCCCCGGTTCGGATCCCACATATGAGGGCCGGTGACACTGCCCTCCACAGCTAAGATGCTGAACAACAGCTCAACCTGGAGCTGGGCTGCCGTGAGTCGCTGGCGACGGTGTAG